TTCCCTCTGCCCCATTCTTGTGCCTTTGCTCCAGCTGTTTACTCTGCCTGAAATATTCACACCCTACCCCTATTTTCAAGCCCCCACAATCCAAATCCTGTCAAGGCTCAGACCAAGGCTGCCATAGCCAGGACCTTCCCTAGGTTCCTGCAGCCACAGTGGCCTCCCTCCCTTCAAAACCCCAGTGCCTCGCAGGTCCTTGAACCACAGCCCCCGCTGTCTTCTCTCATGGCCTTTCTGACTAGAGAGACAAGCTTGGGTCCTGGGTACAGTCTTCCTCAGGTTGCCTGGTGAGGAGAAAGAAGTCAAGTATTGATCTAAGGTGGCGGCTACATTTGCTGACTGGGGCACCCCTTTGGTAAGTACTTCAAACCACCCCAACACCTTCATGCTTCAGGCAAGGCCACACCCACACCTTGAGAAAGGAGCCTGGGACCTCCACCTCTGCCAGTCAGTGACAGCCATTCCTTGGCCACAGAGATGGGCCAGTCAAAACCAACACTGTCTGGAGACTGTTACTGGGATTGGAGGACTGAGGCCTCTTTCCCACCGACTTGAACCTGAAGCTCGCAGCCATCTTGCCACAGCAAGGAAAGGGCTATGGGCGGATATGGAGACCAGAGGTGGAGAGGGAGAATCCAGGCCATGGGGAGTTAGCTGAGCCTCTGAATCAAGCTGTGCCCAGGGCTATCTCTACCCCTGGACTTTTCACTTCTGAATGACAGTAAATCCCCTTAAATTACCCCAAGTTGAGTTTTTTCTTCTTGTAACACAAAGAATCTACACCGGTAAGCAGGGTGAGGAGGGAGAGCTCCCAGGTGGCCGGCTTCTGGGATATCGGCCTCATCTTCCGGGAGGTCATCGTGTGACCTCCCTCAGCTTCAAGGTTGATGAATGGAAACCTGGCTGTTCCGTGCCCCTGGCCTGCACATCCGGTGCGGACTGCTGGCATCCCAAAGTCCGTAGGAGGAGAATGAGAACCATCTGGACTGCTGATTGAAACCTTAGGCTTCGGGTAGGGCTGGGCTCCTGGAATGTGGATGTTGAGCCCCAGGCCCAAGCCAGAGAGTGTTGAGGGCTTCTCAGGGAAGTGTAAGGCTCTCACTGGATGATGCAGAGGGACCCCCAGATTCTATGAGTCACTACAATATGGGGTGGGGAGCATACCCAGACTTTTCCAAAGGGACAGTTTCCAGCCCAGGGAGAAGACCCAATCCCACCTTTCCCAGGAGCCCTTGGGAAATGCTGCTGGAAACAGTCAGAACAGGGACTGCTGGGAAGGGAGCACAGGGATTGAGAAGTACCTGGAAGCTATGGGAAGAGAGCAGGACTGCGTGCCCTAGGAGAAATGGGGCATGAGTGTTGGAATGTTCCTGAATGTCCTTCTTCCATTATAGAGCCTTAGGAAAATGCTCCTGGTCTCACCTCTAGATGGTTGGGGAACTGGAATAGGGAGCATTGGGTGTGGAAATGGGGACTCTGTGGAAACTCCGAACTTCAGTCGGATGAGGGAAGAATCACCTTGCGTGTGGGGATGAAGAGGGTCGCTCAGGGGCTGCCTGGGGAAGAATACTGGGAGTCCATCAGAATGAGGGTACTGCCAGGATCACCCACAGGATGTATGCAGAGCACTGGGGTCTTCTATGGAACTGGAGAGTGTCCTGGGGCCTGGCACCCTGCCCGAAGCAGGCCCACTGCTGAAGGGGTCTGGTGTAGCTGGGTGGGGTCAGCAGGAGGGCAGAGGTGTTGGGGGAGTCAAAGAGGAGGGGGCAGGAGGCAGAAAAAGGAGCCCTCCCAGTCTCAGCTCCTCTGCATCCAGACGCCTGGGGACTCAAGCCTTGTCCCCTGGCCTTCTGCCCACCAGCTGCCACAAAGCTGGGAGGAACATGCTTTGCATTATCAGAGGAGCTGCCTCCCCCCAGGCATATGGTCAGCAGACCCCCAGCCCAGAGCATTATGGGAAATGTCTTCTGCCCCCACCTCTGACCCAGCCCCTTCTATGCTGGGAGTGTGCTGGACTACAGGCTCAGTGCCCCCATCACTCTTCTCCCCAAGGATGAAGAGGCCTGTCACAGTCTTTCAAGACTTGTCTCAGCTTCATTGCCCTGGATGAAAGAGGGCAGGAAGGCACTAGGGGAACGGAGAGGCCCTGATGGGCTGGCAAAAATGAAGGGTCACATCCTCCAGTCTCAAGAATGAAAGAGACAAAGAGACTCCTGGGCTGAGCAGAGAGGAGAGAGGCCTTGGGGGTGGGGTGGAGGGGAGAGAGGCCTGGGGGGTGGGGTGGAGGGGAGAGAGGCCTGGGGGGTGGGGTGGAGGGGAGAATAGGGCCTCAGGCCCAGGGAGACTGATGTCACAGGAGGAGGCAGGAGGCATCTCTCTGTCCTGAGTCTACTAGGGGCTCAGCCCAAGTGCCTACTCGCTGTGAGACTAGACGCTGGACACCGAGCAGCGTCCACACACCTGAAAAGGGCCTGTCCAAACTGAGATGTGCTGTGAGAATAAAATATACACTGTTTTGAAAATGTGTAAAAAAAAAGTCATATTTCAATAGTAATTTAAAAATATTGATTGTATATTCAAATATACTGCAGATATTATTGGGCGACATGAAATATATCACTAAGTTCATCTCACCTGCTTCTCTTTACTTTTCTAATGTAGCTATGAAAAAATTGCAAATGACCCATGTCACCTCATGGTACTTCCGTCGGACAGTGCTGCATTAAAGCACGTTCACTTATTCAACTGATTCGTACTGAGTGCTGATTCTGAGCCGATTCTCGTCTGCGCCAGGCAAGGTGCTGAGCGTTAGAGGTGAGCACAGCGGGTCCGTGTCTCTGGTTTCCGGGAGTTTAGAGCAATCAAATCATCACTCAGGTGGTGCCTAATGCAAGGAGATGAGTGGTCTAGGGCAAAGCAGCGGACCATGAGTTCGCTGAACCCAGAATCAAGAAACCTGACTTGAGCCCAGAACACAATTACTTCCTCAGAAAGTAATGAACTTAGAGGTATCTCGGGGGAGAAAGAGAAAGTGTGGCCTAGAAGGGGCAGCATGTGCAAAGGCCCTGTGCCAACAGCGAACATTGAGCTTAAAGAATTGTGAGAGGGCCTCCCCTGGTGGCGCAGCGGTTGAGCGCCGGGCTGCGAGGAAGCCCGCAGCCTCTGCAGCGCGGGTTCATTCCCAGGCCGAGGGTGAGGGTCCCACAAAAAAAAAAAAAAAAAAAAAAAAAAAAAGAATTGTGAGAGAGCTGGTTTGGGTAGCACAGAAGTGAGGAAGAGGGTGGCTGAGCAAGGGAGTGAGCCTGGAGGAGCTGGCAGGGGCCTCATAGACCCCTGAGGCCACATTAAAGATGCAAAGTCAATGAAGCATGTTCATCCTCAGAGGGGAATTGGAGGAGGGAGGAGGTGAGGCTGCAGGAGGGCAAGGAGGGTTTCTCCACAACCGGCCCCAGGGGGAGGGGGTGTGAAGGGGAACACAAGTCTCTCCAATGAGGTCTTTGGGCTTTTTGCCCCCCTCCCCACCAGGAGCCCTGCCTCAGGTAGTCACCTCCCCGCCACCCCTTACTTCAGGCCACTCTGGCTTCCACCCTCCCCACTGCAGTCAGAACTAGTGTTGTCTAAGCTGCGGATCTGTCAGTGGCAGTACCCCACCCCCACCCCCACCCCCACCCCACCCCCGCCCCGCCCCACGGTGCCGCTCCCACATGTAGTCCCGGGCCCCCTGTTTCTTCACAAGCCCCTTGCTGGCCCCTCGCTGACCGCCCGCTCACTCTCTGGGATCCGGGCACAGAAGCCTCCCCAGGCCTCACGAGCTCTGTTCTCTTTCTCAGGGCCTCTGCCAGAAACACTCTCCTCCCCCAGTTTGTTAACCCCACTCCTCCTTGCAGACTCGGGATGTCCCTTTTCTGACAAACCTGCCCCATCCCCTTATAAGGTGGGTCTGGACAGGGAACCCCACCTCCCTCTCATGGCACTGCACGCCACACAGAGCAGTAGGGGGCGCCAGGCGGGGGTTTGCATCACCCTCATTCCCACAAGCAGCCTCTGGCTCTTTTCCACCAAATTAGAGGTCTGTGCCCCACCAGAATGAGGCCTCCTCAGATCCAAGGTACCCTCATGTCTGGGACTGGGACTTCCCCCATCGACTGGAGGCTTCTTCAAGGCAGAGTCTGTCTCCTCCATAGCGAGGTTATCCAAGTACTGGGTGGTATCTCTTGCCTACTATGAATCACACTCCCCTCCCTTTCTTCACAGCCCCCACCCCAAGTCTGGGGGTGGAAGAAGACAGTCGTGCCTAACTCTTGGCTTGGGCCAGGCTGGCCCTCCCAAGATCCCCAGCTCGGGAAGTCTTGATTGCCATTCTTTCTGGGAAGCGCAAGTCTCTGGTGGCTTCCCCGAAACCACAGCCCAGCCCCACCAGAGAACCTGGTCAAGCAACCAACACTGAATAGCCCTGCCTGGGCCTCCTTGAAGAGGGCACAGCCTGGGCCTGTGAGGTAGGGCCAGGCAGAGGGCTCCAAGTCAGGCTGGCAGGAAGGGGGTTGGGAGCAGTCTGGGAGCAGGAAGAGGGAGAGGAGGGGCCAGCCTGCTAGGCCTTCTGGAGCCAGGCCCTGTGCACGCACATATGTGTGTGGGGGGTATGTCTTCCAGGCCATGTGGGTGGCTGGGAGCTGCAGGGTTATGACCCAGCCCTGTGAGCAAGCCCCAGGCTCCCTCGTGGTCAGTTTCACTTATGACATCTGGTCAAGTTCACGGCTGATGGCTTCCTGCATGGCCATGTTCACTTTCCCTCTCCAAGATCCGGGGCCAAAGGGCCCCCACTCCTTCTCTATCCCAGTTAAATTAACTCCATAGATGCACATGTGAATTTGCTAGATTTCTGTTAAAACATCTCCATCTGGGGGCAGGGACAGGAGGGAACAGGACAGAAACTCAGAGCTGGAAATTATACCTGGGTCCCGGCCACACATACCCCCCCACCGACCCAAACCATGTGCATTTGCAGAAAATTCCTTTACACCACTTTGCTTTCTTTGCTATTTAATGTTCTTCATTTATGTTTTATGTGTAGGTTTGGGAGGGCCCTAGAAATGATTACACAGAATGCAAGGGGCAGGTGACAGGGAGGTTAACAGGGAGTCTGGGGCTCCCAGCCCCCAGCTGGGAGCCAAAAGGGTTCCATCTCAGCCCAAAAGGAGGCAGGAGGGGCCCCAGAACCAAACACATGCTAAGCCATACTTGCAAACCCCCAACCCCCTCCCCCAACTGTGGGGAGGAGAATAAATACACTCAGACCCTGTCCCACTCCCCAGGAGCGCAGGTGAGGGGCCAGCAGGTGAGTTTCCTCCTCCCATCACAGGTCGAGGTCACAGAAATGCCATCTACGTACAATGTAGCCCCTTAGACAGGGTGGGGAGAACCCTGGGCAGAGGAGGGGGTAACAGTCCGTGCATACCCTGCCGGGGCTCAATCATGCTAAATAAAGGGGGGACCACACTCATTCCAACATCAAGCAATACAGAACAGCCAGGGAGGGACCTCCTGAGACCTCAGGGTCCCCCCTGGCACCAAGCGAGGGGAAAAACAGTCCTTTGTAGGGTCCTCGAAGCTCAAGAGAGGGCTCGAGAGAGACCCTGTAGGGCTGCCTGCAGGGTTGCCATCACGCAGTTCCTTCTCGCCACCTTCCCGCAGGGTCCACTCTTCTGCATGGGAACCTTCGGGGCCAGCCAAACCTGGGCTGCAGGGAAGCAGGGGTGGGGAGATTCCTCCACGTGCAGGCCCTTAGAAGGCAGACGCCAGCTCAGCCGTCCTTGGCCCGCCAAACGCGGGGGCGGGCGAGGGAGACCGGAGCAGGGCTCCATTCCCTTGGATGCTTCTCTGGCAGCTGCACGGAGCAGGATCCGGTCCCAGCCTGAGAAGGAACTCGTGGAGAAAGCAGGATTTCTCATCCTCTGTGTCTGTCTACTACATGCGGCAGGTTGGGGGATCCTTCGTCCCCCACCCCCAGGACTGTAGGAAGAGGTGCTGCTTGTATTGGCTGCGGGTCTGTGCCTGAGTGGAGGCCACAACAGACTGGGCCACCCCGTGGATGCCACACTGACATGCCTGAGGGGGGCAGACAGAGGGAAGTAGCACCCCTTTCCACAACCCCCAAACCTGACTTGAGTCACGATGGATGGGTCGACCGGGCGTGGGTGAAGCATCTCGTCTCCACAGGGGTAGGGCGGGCCTGGAGACGCGGCAGGCAGGCTGGGTTTGGCTTGGAGGTATTTTCCAGAGGGTCGCCTGGCCTGATCTCCCAGCCCTCAAGCAAACCTGAGGCCTTTGTCCATCATTCAGAGAGGAGGGGAGCGGCCCACATTTGGCCTCCCATTGCTGGGCAGCTTTGGGCAAGTCACTGCCTCTCTCTGGGCCTCACTGTCCTATATGTAAAATGGGGGAGGGGTGCACTAGATTTCAAAACCCTCTTCCAGTCACTCAAGCCTCTGATCCTCTTCATCTTAGGCCAAAGGGGAAAGGTGAGGGGGGCTGAGGGAGGGTTTAGGCCACTCTGATGAGCCCTCGCTCCCCAAGTTCACAGTGTAGAGTCCCTGGCTCTGGGTCTTCAGTCTCTCCCTCTGAGGCTCTGGGGCCTTGGTACGGCCCCTAACACAGCCCTGGTGTCAGCCCCCAGCTATGACACCTGCTAAGGTGGGAGGGGCCGGCCCACCTAGAAATGTGAGGAGAAGGAGCAGAGGCCTGAGATGTGAGGGGGTGAGGGCGGTGGGAGAGGCAGCAGGGGCACTTCTGGCGCTGGAGGGAGTGTGGCCAGAAGCGAAGAGCCACAGGGAGCGGTGGCAGGGCTGTGGTTCTGGGGCCTGGGCACTGAGGTCCTGCCCAGAGGAGCTCAGCTCTGACGTGGCCCATGGGGGTTGGCTGGAGCGTCAGTCATTGGAATGTGGGGGTGGGGCAGGGGCTCCCGGCGGGCTCACACCGGGGACGTGGCTGTGGACTCGCTGCACAGGCTCTCGACAATGTCAGCTCTCTGGATACGGCGCAGCGCAGCCAGGAGGGTGTCGAGGGTGGCACTGTCCTGGGCAGCCCAGCTGGCGAGCAGGGCACGGACTGGGCAGGCCTCGTGGGTGAAGGAGTCTATGTGCTCAGGCTGGTAGCCCAGCTCGCCTGCCAGATGCCTCCAGGTGTCCCCCGCAGAGCCATTGAGAAGCTTCTCCACCTCCTCTCGCTTGGCCGGGGGCAGGCTGCTGTAGAGGCCTCCATCACCCTTGAGGGCTACCAAGAACCCAGGCGGAGTCAGGTACTACCCGATGCACCCCCATGTCCCCATGGTGGGCATGGCAGTCCGGGGTTAGTCCCAAGAAGGGCCCAGGCCTTTCTCCTCCCAACCTTGGAAAACCCCTAGGGCCTAGAGGCAGAGGGATGGCCAAGATGAGGCCCAGGATAGGAGGATGCTGACTCACATCCCCTCCCTACCTGCATCTCCAGCACTGTCCCTTCCCTGTGGCCCAGCTCTTAGGCAGAGGGGGAGACAGGATTCCCAGCCCCAGACTCTCTGCAGTGAGTGTCCTGAGGTTAGGTGATGGGCCACTAATTACGGTACATCATTAACTACTTGTTCCCCAGAAGTCCAGGGCAGGAGGCTAATTGCAGCCACTTTGGGGAGTAATTAGCCCCAGGGGGGGACAATTAGCTTGATTGAGTCTGGATGCTCCAATTTGTCAAAGCCTCCTTTCCCAAGTCATTCCACTGGAGAGGACCTGCCCGACAGAGAGGCCCTCATCCTACAGAGGCCCCGTGAGCCAGCCCCTCTGGCCGTCCCTTCTCCAGTCTAATGGAGGGGGGTCTCACTCCTGCCCCCCTGTCTGGGTTGCCCGGCTGGGCCTTGGCCTTGCTCACCCTGGCCGGCGGCCGTCTGCGTGTGAGGCTGCTGGTCATGCAGGCTCTGGCTGTCCACGGAGATGCCGCTGTCACTGTGGAGCTTTTCTCCCTCCGGAGGGGGCGTCTGGTTCACAGGCCGGCTGTTGGCTCCTTGCTTGTTCTGCTTGCAGCTGTTCCACCTGGATCGAGGACGGGCCACTCTCAGGGCTGAGGGCACCCAGCCCCCCCACTAAGGTATCATTTCTGATGAGGTCTGGCAGGGGCGCAGCTGTAACTCCCTGCCACTGCACCCGAGGGTCTCATTTCTCTATGCATCTGCCCCCCGCTGACACTGGGGGCGAGAGGTACCTGGCTTGGTGCTCACCCCAAGTGTCAGCACACATTTGGTCAGCGATGGTGCTGAAAGAAATGACTTCCCAGGAGTTCCACTTTTCCCTGTCCGCCCTCTGAGACACCCCCACGTTACGCAGGGATATACCCAAGGATCTCCTCCGCTGCAATAAGCAAGAAGGAAAAACCAAAAACAAACCCAATGTCCATGGACAGGAGGCTGGTTACATAAATCACGATCTGGCCAGTGTTATCGGAGGAGCGTTTACAAATGACCAGGGGGATGAAGTGGAAAAGCTGTAGGCTACGCGTGTGTGAGGATGCTTTCTAAAAATGTGTGTTTACATAGAACTAGAAAAAGCCTTATATGCCTGTGTTTATAAATGCGTAGAAAATGGCTGGAAAGGATCCACTGCAGATTCCAATGAGGAAAGGGGTTGGATTTGGAAAGATAAAAGGGGGATTTTACTTTTTGCTTTATAGGACATTGTTCTTGTTTGCATTTTCTCAAACAAGCATGCATTACTTTGATGGTTTTCTTGAAAGAACAGAAAATGCACTTAAATGTTAAAACCCTTTCCAGAAATTCTTGCACATCCTGTATCTCTGAATGTAGGTGCCATGGGACCCCAAATGTGAAATGGGAAGGATGAGACACAGGCACACACACACTGGTCACTATGTGAGTAAATGGGGGTTCAGGGTAAGGGACACAGGCAGCTGGCAAAGAATGTTCTGTGTGCATTTGGGAGCTGGGGAGAAGGGGAGAATCGTGGGAGTCGGGGGCCAGCACTAGCACAGGACAGGAAGGGCCCCTTCCCTACCTCCTGTTAAGCTGCCATGCCCTGAGGTGGGGCAGCTGATGGTGAGTGAGGATGAGCCTGGCTGGATTAAGTTAAAAGGGCATGTGCATTTTCAGGTCACAGTCACAGCAAAGCCTTCTTTGAGGGCAAAGGTCCGGCTCTCTCTTCCCCATTCCCTCTCACCTCTTGAAGGCAATGTAGGCCACCAGCCCCACCACCACAGCGGCCAGGATGGAGCAATAGACAGGGATGAGGTTGTCTGTGGTGCCTCGCGTCACCACAGGCTGAGAGCTGCCCATCACTGTGGTCACCACATTGGCCACCGTGCTGGCTATGAGGTCTTGCTCTGGAGGTGCCTCTGGCTCCTGAGTGCTGGGGATTGTGCTGTCTGAGCCTTCCGGGGGTGTGGACCGTGTGATCCAACGGCCAGGGATCTCTAGGAGAAAGGGCTATAGGAGTGAATGCCAACTCCCCCCAAGCCCGTCCCTTCATGTTCTTACCACCCCCCACTCAGCACTTCTTCTCCAGCCCCAGCCCCTTCTCCAGGTTTGTGCCCAGTTGTTTTGCACAGAGGTGAAGGCTGGGATTGTGTGAGGTCAACATGGAGGAGAAAGGCAAACACCTGGAAGTCAGGAGATCTGGGTCTGCCACTGACTAGCTATGTGAGTCTCTTCAACTCTCAGGACCTCAGTTTCCCCATCCATGTAAGGGGACAGTAAAAGATGGTCTAAGCTCCCTTCCATCTTGGGAGTAGCTGTGGTCCTAGAGTTCCATTCTGCCTGTCCTGGGTACCAGAGGCCCGGCATGGAGGTAAATACACAAAAGAGAGTGAACCCTAGAAAATCTTCAGCTAGCATCACTCTAGGGAAATGCTGGAAACTCAGGTTGCCCCAGATGACCACAGGCACCCCTTCCCTAAGGAAGGATGAGGATCACATCTTCCCCCACGCCACCCTCCTTTCCAGTCTCTGAGGCTGGGGGTGGGGGGCCGGGTGTGCTACAGCAGCAGCCAGTCCTCTGGCAGTGGGGAGAGTGTTTCCTGAGTGTGTGACCCTCACACAATCTGATCTTGCCAGGGTAGACAGTGGCAGGTAGCCCCAGCCCAACTTGGGTACAGAGTTGGCTGCTGGCTAAGAAAGGACCTACACAGCAGGTAGGTACTGTCCCACCTCAGGGGAAGGGAGACTGCCTTGCCACCCACCTGGGCCCTTGTATGCCAGCTGAGCATCTCTAGCTTCCCTAGCAGGAGACCTGGCACCTCCTGGCACCAGTGGGTGGGATTTTCCATTGTGCCATTCAGTGGGGGGCAGCAGCAGGGGCTGTAGATTCTGGAGGGCCTGGGGCTGCCTGTCTGGGCAAAGTTGCCTCCCCCATCCATCCTCGCTTCCCACGACTGGGGCAGGGAGGGAAAGCTGAAGGGACATGCCAGTGGGGTGAAAAGGAGGACACTCAGCTCCCCAACTCTGCCCATTGAGTTTGCCACCCAAGTTGGAGTCAGAGCTACTCACTGGTGTCCTGGGCCTTGAGACAAAGATGCTTCAAAGGCCCTTATTTTCAGCACCTTCTGAGGGGTACAGCCCCCAGATGTGAATCTGGAATCCATCTGGCTGGCAGTGGGGAGGGGAGTGCCATCTGCTGTCCCTTCCCACCCCTCCCCCATTTCAGTCCTGGGTCAGGAGGAGTGGGTGGGACAGGAAGTGAAGAAGACAGAGCCCTTTTCCTCTAAGTAGTAGACCAGGCCTTAGAGCTCTAGGGAGGGGTTGAGGAAGTCTTCTCTTGCCCTGATAGGGCACTGGGCGACCTGGAGGGGCAGCCTGAGCCCTGAGGCTAAGATACCGGTTGGGGGCCTGGCAGACCCCAACCCCAAGGCTGAAGGTATGGAGTGGATGTATGAGGAGGGGGTGCTGGTGAGGCAGGATATCGCTGAGGTTCCAGGGCAGCAGGGAAGGGCAGAGACAGCGCAAGGGATAGAGGAAGTCCAGGGCAGGGTCTAGGGCACTCTCCCCTCATCTCTCCAGTCCCCTCTGTTTGAGGGTGAAGGGGATGAGATCCAGATGTGGCCATGTCCACTAGCATTCCAGCCAGCTAAGCCCTTGGCAGGTCCTGACAGCCATTTCCTGAATGGGAGCTGTCAGATTTGGGGGTGGAGAGAGGGACCAGGTTACTCCTCCTAAACCCAAATTTCACCGGGGGCAAGGCGGGTGAGTCACCAGGATACCTGAAATGTATATGCAAGAAATACAATGCACTGAGGGGCAGAGGGGTCAACCCAACCACGAATCAAATTCCATTTCCTGAAACGTTCCCTCTGCCCCAAGCTGACATTTAACCCATCAGACACTGGAGCAGAAAAAGGGAGGGAGCACAGTAAACACATTCCTGGGGATACCCTCCTCTTTTAGGGTGCCTGGGAAAGTGGGGTGGTATCTGGGAGGAGTCTGTAAACGCCCCAGAAATAGAGCCTACCCCTCCTCCAGCCATCACCTTTCTTTGCTGGAACTGCACCGCTGAGTAAGTCCCCCCACCAGCTGGTCCAGACTTGTCCACAAACCAGCATCTGAAGTTCCCTCCCTGCTCTGCCTTGCGCCTGACACCACTTGCCTGTCTCCTGGCCCTGGGCGAAGGCCACCGGAACCCTGTTCTGTCTCCCTCCTCCTCCCCATGTGATAGGGAAGCTTTGCACATGTGCCTGGCCTCAGTCCAGCTTCACAGCCCTCTCTGCCCTGAGTAGACCTGGAAGCAAAGCAAGGGTGTGCAGAGCCAGTGTCAAACCGGAGGTCCCCCCACACACACACAGGGGACCTATCTCCACCACCTGCTCTGGTGTTCTTGGCAGAAGGCAGAGGCTGTGTTGTCTTTACCAGGAAGGGGGATCTCCTGGGAACTCAGTCTCTCTCAGTAAACTGGGGTAAAAGCTAACTCTCCTGACGGACTGGACAGACTCAATGCTGCTGAGGAGACACTGTGTTGCCTGCTCAGTGTGAGGGCACCCTAAGGGGTAGGCCCCAAAAGGAAATAGCTAAATGGGCACCCAGCCACAGGGTGAGGAACAGAAAGTAAAGCATTATCAACCTCTCCCTGCAGCTGAAAAGCCCACCCATGTCCCCCACGATGGAGCTCACCAACCAGAGACCCAAACAGTGCTGACAAGGTGCTCCCCACTCCCAGGAGGAGCTGCCCTGTCTCCTTGGGGCTCCATGCCTGCCAAAGGTGGCCACAGTCAGCTCCCATGCACCGCTGGGGGCTGAAAGCCCCATGCATGGGGCCTGGTCTCAGGATCCAGAGCCCCAGGCCTGCTGTTCCCTGTCTTCCTCCATCACAAAGGCTCTGCCCCCACAACCTCCTTAGGGTCCTCCAACCTGTGACAGTGACTCTTGGTCTCTCTCACAGACACCACACGTTGGTACACCAGCCACCTTCCTTAACCCACAGCAATCCGGGTAACCATGGCCACTGAGGAAACTGAGGTCCAGAGTTAAGAGTGCCAGTCCTGACTAGCATCCTCAGATAGAAAGTCACAGGGCTGATTCCGCCGCAGTGCCCAGGGCCATAAACCCAGGCCTGGCCTCGAAGGATAAAGATCCCAGAGGACCCTCAGGAGAGGGTCCTCAAGTCCCTTAACACTTGGAAAGCCCCTTCAAGGCTCACACATGCCCTGCCCTGTGCCCGGGACACCAGGGCTCCCAGCTACTTAACCTCTCCTAGCAGGACAACCACAAATTGAGAGAAGCTCTAGAAAATGAGTTGCCATGTGGTAGCTGTGGCCAGGAGGATGCTGATGGCTTTCTTTGGCTCAGCCCAAGGAAGAAAACAGTGGTCAGGCAGGGTGGGGAGACACCTCCCTGAGATTCCGGGGACACAGAGCCGCGCCCGCCCTTCTCGACCCGCAGGGGGCGCCCTTCCTCACCCTCGCACTCGGCGTCGGCCCAGCGCGAGCACTCGCGCAGCTGGCGCTCCGTGTCCTCGCACACCGTGCAGGGCAGGCACGGGTCCACGTGGTTGGCCTCGTCGGAGTAGGTGCCGTCGGGACACTCCTCGCACACGGTGTTCTGCTTGTCCTGGCACGAGTACACGAGGCCTGAGCCCGCCTCGCACACGCGGCACGCCTCGCAGCGGCCCGTCGTCTCGTCCTGGTAGTAGCCGTAGGCGCAGCGGCATACGGCGTCGTCGGCCTCCACGCAAGGCGCCGACATGCTCTGCAGACCCACGCACTCGGTGCACGGCTTGCACGGCTCGGTGGCACTCACCACGTCAGAGAAGGTCACGCCTGGGGGGACATGGACCGTGGGCCCGGGATTTAGCCTCCTGCAGTTTGGGCATGTGGGACACGGGCTCCCCCCACCATCTTACCAGGGCACTGACCCCCCTCTTCAGCTTTGCCCCCTCATTACTCCTTAAAAACTGCTGGCAGCCGACTGGGTAGGAAGAAGGGCTCCAAGAGTCCCGTGCTAGCGCCCCTGATGCTTCAGGGGTAACCCAGCTGGTACTGGAAATTTCTTGGCAAATTCTCAGAGAGAGCTCCCAACCCTATCCCCTTGTTCCCAGCGTGATTAAGGAATAATCGCAGCGTGGTTCCCACCCAGCCCTCCCCGCAGGCCAGAGCTGGGCTGTGAACCCAGCCCAGGCACACAGGGCCTTCACCAGGGAGCCTTCCCGGGCAGCTGTCCTTCCAAGCCTCTGTGCACAGGTGGGGGCTCAAGTGCTGCCTTCATGGGAGTGACTGGAGTTAGCAGTGTCTCCCACCATGGCGCTACCCCACGCTGCAGAAGGACTTGGCTTTTGAGGGTGGGACTCGCGGTAAGAAAGTGCAGTAGAGCAGGAAGGCCTGAAGCGAGACAAGCAGCACTTGGTATGTAGTGCTCTGCCCTTTCAAAGGCAGGAAGGGGAGACCTGGAGCTCAAGGCATGACTGTGCTCTCTTAGTCAATGGATATGAGCTTCAGAATCAGGGGAGGCCAGGGTCCTCTGCTCCTGGAGCCTGGAGGGAGTCCGGCACAGAGCCAGATCTTCACCCCTTCCAGCCCAGGGTGGAAAGCTCTGCCAGTCTGAATCTGACAGAACTCATCCTTGCTCCAAGCGCAGAAAGAGCAGATTTAGGCAATTGAGAACAGGGAAGGAGGGAGTCCTCAGAAAGTGGAAGCAGGAGTAGCTGAGCCCCAGGTGACGTGTCAGCCCATGAGGGAAAGGGGGGTTGCTGTGGGGACTGAGCTCAGACTTCTCTAGAAGCTTCCAGAGACAAGATGGAGCATGGCACCATTGTCTTCAGGAGTGGGTGTGTGGATGGAAAAGCAAAGGAGGGAAAAGCAGAGCGAGATGAAGAGGCCAGATACTGGGGAGGAAGAGGAGATAATACAGCAATGAACTAAAGGGAGTTTCCAGTCAGTGCTGGCAGAGGGACCTCTGTGTTTCTCATCCTAGGGAGCAGGCAGATCTGGATTCAGAACCTGCTTCCATCACTTAGTAGCTGTGTGACTTGGGTTTTTTTCTGAGTCTTTTTCTTTCTCCATTAAATGGAGAAGTAACATCTCCTCTCACATGGCTGTGGCGAGGAACAAATGAAGTTCTACTGTAAAACCCTGACACAGGGCAGGGATCCTATAAAGCTTGGGTACCCCGGGGTGAGCAATGATAAAAGTAGGTGGCAGAGAAGCAGACAGCAGGAAGGACTTCCAAACACAAACAGGCAAAGCCGGCCGTCCAGTTTATACAAACAAGAGGAACCAATCTGGCTGGCATATGGCAGATGTGGGTCTAGTCACACCAAAGAGAAAGGGAAGGGCTTTGCTATGGGAAAACACAGAAAATTAGCAGAAAACTCCTGGGAGTGGGTTTTAAGGGGTGGGAAAAATGTGGTCTTTTTTTTTTGGCAGAGAATGAAGGCAGGAGCTTAATGGGTTTCCTTGTGGAAACGTTTTGACGATAGAGGGAAAGTCCGCTGGGGTCTCCATCCCATAAAGTGGGCTTGTAAAGGTGGCCTGTTAACGCAGCTGGAGAGGAGGGGAGGAGGGAAGGGGGAGGGAGGGTTCCTGCTACCGCGCTGTGCTGGGCTCTGCTCCTGTCTCCCGCCCCTTCCCCACAGAGGCCAGGCCCTCCCTCTTCCAGGCCCCACTAAGGCTATTCCTCCTTTCACAGAAGGGAGTGGAGTCCCAGCCTGGGAGACTTAGGGCCCAGGCGGGGAGATTCCTGGGCAGGAGTCTAGGAAATGAGTCTCCCCTCCCCAAGGGAGTCCCAGTGGGAATGGCCACAGTGCCCTGCTCCCTCCTGTACTCGGAATCATCACCCTGATAGCCCTACAGTTCTCCAAACCCATGCCTCCTCCCTGCTGCCCCGGAAAGCTCTTCTTCCTTTGGGTGGAGCTAGAGAATTATTTGCCTGCTGGGGGGTGGGGGGAGTTAGCCACTGTTTCCAGGATCCCCCAAGGTCAGTCTCCAGGGCAGCTAGGATTTGATCCTCCTCCCCTCCCTCCCTCCCCACCAACACACGGAAGGTAAGTGGCAGCCATTGATTTTGCAGCGAGGGTGGTATTTTTAGCTGATCGTAGCATCAGCTACTCTTCCCCACCTGGCAACACTCTTCTACCAGGCCTCTCTGCTTGGGGGCTGGGTAGGGGCACCCCATAGGAGTCCCCCACCAGGCCCCCTCCTCCCTCAGCATACTTCTCTACCCATTCTCAGCCCTCTGGCCTCCTGAACAGGGTCAACTACTTCTGGGGCCCACACAGTGGTGGGTGAGAGACCCCACCAGGAGGCAGAGCCCTTATAAGACCTCTACTGGTCATGTTCCTCTCCAGCTCCCCTCCCTGCCTTCCACTCCTCACCCCTCTCCCCACGTGCACCCCATACTCACTGTCCAGGCAGGGCTCACACACAGTCTGGTTGGCTCCACAAGGCTGGGCCACACCCTCGCCCAGGTTGCAGGCTTTGCAGCACTCACCACTATGGGTGTACAGGCCCGTGGGGCAGGACTCCTTGGCCCCTCCGAGGGACACCTGGTTATGGGGAGATCAGCAGGTCAGATTGATTACAGAAAGGGGGGCTGGCTCCTGAGGGATCAAACACCCCCCCCCCTTCCTCAAGGCTTCTATTGGAACCATGTGGGCCAGGATGAGCTCACCAGGGAGGCATTAAGCACATCAAAGCTGGAGAGAAGAAAGGCAGTTGGGGACAGTGCACCCCTGCAGGCTTCTGGGCTGTGAGGTCAGAGTCTCCAATGCTGACCTTCTGCAAAGTTCATCCTGAGGTGGCAGCAATGCCCAGAATCCTTGAGATACACCACATGGAAAAGGTGGCCTGCGGCACAGCGAGTCCTCAGGCAGGGGTGTCAGGAAGGCCAGGCAGGTTGCAGCTTGCACAGGGCTGCCAGCCAAGGGGGCGACCAGAGGCTGAAATCCAGCCCAAACTCCACCTGCCAAGCTGCACACCTGCAGGGCTGCATTTATCTGGAGGGCAGCCTTTTCCTAACACAAGGCCCCGCCTGGCAGAACCCTAGCGCAGGTTCTTAATTCTGTCATTCAACATTTAAAGTATCAAATGTCTGTACTCAAGGACTGAAGGCAGAGGCGTGGGGTCTTGGGTTCAAGTCCTGATCTGTGCTGAGAGTTCTGCCCCGCCCTGTTTTCCCTCTCTGGGTCTTCATCTCTCAACAGAGAGAGATGGTGACAGCTTGGGGCAGAGCTAAAGACCAGCCTATCGGCAAGAGTCTGGCGCCAAGGCCGGAGAAAAGGTCTCCTGTTATCTATGATGAGAAAGTGGCCACTCTCACCACCCAGCAGCCCTGCTCCACCAGGGTTTGATTTCCAGCCACCAGCCAGCCTCCTTCCTGCCCCCATGCAGCCAGTGGGACTGGCGCTGGAATCGGGCAAGGGGAGTCAGATTCCTGCCGCCGAGGCATCTTTGCTCATGGATGGAACGATTTAGCACCAGATTCCCTAGAGGGAGGGGCTGCTGGCAGTTTGTTTTATATTTCTTTTCCTTAACAAAAAAAAAAAAAAAAAGTAATGTCTAATAAAACTCCAAAGCCAGTTTCCCTGGCCCCAGACCATGCAGCTCCCATTTGATGCCGAGAGGAAATATGGGCACTTGGGTCGTGGGACCAGACAGGAGCTTTAAATGCCATTTTGGACATTCCTCTGCTTTCACCTCAGGCAGACCATGAGGTCACACTAGGGTTTGGTGCAGGCAAGGGAATGGGCAGCCTGGGTCAGTCTAGCAGCGGCCTGAGGTCCTCAAGAGACCAGCAGCAAGGGTGCATGCAGCTTCGGAGGGGAACTTGGGTGTCACCAGCCTCTCCTCCCAGGTAGCAGGAACAGAGCTGGGAACATCTGTAAACCAGGAGCCTGTGGGGATGGGGGGAAGGCCAGATGCAGGCAGGCCCCCAGGAGCCGAGCGAGTATCCAGAAGGTCTGTTCTGATTTCCTTTTATCCTTTAGGGCTCGGCTAAAATGTCACTTCCTGAACATCATGGTCCTGTGGCCCCCACCTCTCCCAGACTTAGGCAGAGCTGCCCTGTTATACTTCTCCCTCCTCACTCTACTTGTCTGGTCTGAAGCTTCACTGAGTCCCCCCGGCTAGATGGTCCACCTCCTGAGGGCAGGCCTGTGGATGCGCCAGCCCCTGATGGTCACCTGGCTCACAGTAGGTCCTTAGTGTGCATATTTATGGAATATGAAAATACTGTATGGAATATGTTAATTACTAGTTAACTAGAATCCCAGGGAGCAGCTTTCTGAAGAGCTGTGCATGCGGCTTTCATCACCGAAGGTTTCCCTTCCACCCTGGTGGCTGCACCCTGGCCTGTCTCTGGAACAGACCTACACGGTTTCCCCATGACTCAGGGACTCGGTATTTACACCAGCGATTATGCTGGGCTGCAATGCAGTGAAACTCTTGTGTTCTTTATCGCAAATTACCACACATTTGTGTCTTTGAGTTCTTCTGTCAGCTTTTTTTCAAAATAGTGTTTCTGTCTCCTTCCCTTCTGTATCAGTTGTCATTTGTGCCACTACCAGAGTGTGTCTGGTGACCCCTCCCCACCACTCTAATTCCCTAGGTCTATGGGAAGCTCTAGAAATGGTATAACTAGCCTTGGTCGAAAGGGGTCAAAATGAGTGTAAATAGGATTCAAACCTGGAGGGGACAATTCTCGGAGGAAAAAGTGTGAGCTCCCCCTGCCTTCCTCCTCAGCTGCCTCCATCATTGCATCATGGTTCATCTCTTTGGAGCTAGGACATGTTTTGGATTTCTCTGTGCCTCAGTTTCCCCACCATTAGGTAATCATGACAGCATCTGCCTCATTAAAGGAGTGAGCAAGGTGCATATACAGTTGGACACCTTTCTCTTGTCTGGGGTTGTTCTAGCTCCCTTGGTGGCTTTGGCTATGTTCCAGTTAGTTAACGCAGCAGAGACCAGGAGGACTCTGGATAGCTAAGGGGGTCCGCCTCAAGTGGGGGGTGGTGCAGCAGCCTCAGCAGGTCCCTCCTCCTCGAAGCCTGTTCTCTGGGCCGCAGCCACGCTCCTTTCTCTTCTCCCAGATCTTGCATTCAGAGTCATGGCCATATTAGTACAAACCATGTGTTTCCTGTGTTTGCTTTATGTTTCCTATTTCAAAACATCCCAGACCTGCTACTTAGTAGTATATTACTTTGGGTAAATTCTCCGTGTCTCTAAGCCTGGGTTTTCCCGCCTAAAACATTGGATTGGTCCTATCTACTCTCCAGGGTTGCGGTAAATAATTCAATGAAATAACTTATGCAAATCTGGCTGGTGTAGGGTAAGAGTTCAATAAATGTTAGTTTGCAAAGGGAGTATGAGCTGCTGCCCCTGGGTGGGAGAGCACAGCCATCCCCAAAGAGAGGAGCTATCAAAAAGCAGGGTGCATGATAGCTAATGAAGGAGATTTACCCACCAGGAAGAGTCTGAAGAGACTATGAAAACCAAAGGAGGATGAGAAATTGCTTTCCTTAAAATGAACTCACTCAACTGTGCTCTCGAGCATGGAGCTAAGAGTTTCCAATGAGACATGGCCTGATCTCAGCAGCGAGTCACTGTCCCCTGAGGGACAGAACATGTCACCCCAAAATGCTGCTCCAGATGCCAAAATGCTGAGGGGTTGCCTTTGCCCCCTCTCAGATAGATGGGGAAAGCGAGGGCCCCACAGTTCAGGCCTAATGTAAGCCCCTGTCATGCCTCTCTTAATTCAAAGCTGCCAATCTTGGGGAGCAGGGAGTATGATAGGAGTCAGCAAATTGCTCCAAAAGAATCAATTTACCAAAACGATAGATGCATTTGCCTGAAATTTACATGTATTACACTTTTTCATTTCCAATTTGATGGAAATGAAATGATTACATCCCATTTTCTAAAATGCTTGCAATCATTCTATTTTTACCATTAAAAAAAAAAAAACCATGGAAATACCCTCAGATGAATTGATGTTTAGGAACCTGAAACTTATTTTAAAACTGGACAAAATAGTAAACCCACCAAAATAGTTGAAAGAATTTGAATACATGAACTCACAGCATGATGAGTCCTACTCATTCACAACAGCCTCATCAGAATGAAGCCAGTAGCCACCGCCACAGGGTTGAAGAGTTTCCTATATGTGGAAGGTCTATTGAGGCCAATGCAAATCCTTGGCAGGTACTGGTAAGTGCCTCCCACCCCTGTGGACAGGGGTGATCTTGGGGTAGGAGAGAGAAAATTCCTTTTTTAAAAAAGACTTATTTATTTTTATACAAGAACCGGGGTACAGACCAGATGTGCGGGAGGGTGAGAGGATTCACCTGAGACAGAGCAGGGAACGGAACAGGCAGACGGACTGAAATACACTACAGAGGAGCAGTGGGCAAGACAGTAAGAGGTCTGCCCAGTCATGTGGGTATCCCCGTGGCCGGCAGGGATCGAACTGGCACTGCAGAGGCTGTGAACAGCTTCACAGCACTGCGCTCAACAGCCTGAGCCACCAGCGTGCCACCAGGAGACTGATAATTCCTAAGGAGATGCTGCATAAAGATTTTCGAGGGGTGTGGAGCCCTGGGGAAAGAGACTAAGCTCCAAATTTGGGATATGTAATCTCCAGAGCTAGTGATGGTTCAAGGCCAAGTGCCCCTGTGTGATCTAGAAGTCTGGGGTGTGGGGCAGGGGTGGTGGAGCCTGGAGGTAATAATAAGCGCCAATCCAGGGGCACCACCGCCTGCAACTGGCGGCTCCTGGTTTGGGGCCTGAAACGCTGACAAGCTTAGCTCCTACAACTGTAAAATGGGGGAATAATTAGATTTGGTCTGCTGTGACTTTTTAAGGGTTAAGTAACACAGAGAAAATTACTTAGGGCAGTGCATGGCACATAGTAGGGACTCAACCCAGTTTATTAGTCCGGCCTCCCCTCCCAGCACCCCCAGGGAAGACTAGGCTCGTGCGCAAGACGCGGCTGGTCCAGCCGGGTGGGGACCCCTTTCTGCCCCAGCGGCCTCCCGAGCCTGGCCGCTCCTGTCCTTTCATTTGCGGCCCTCACTGCATCCCTATTAGGCGCATTAGCCAGCCCGGCGGCTCCGGTTACAGACGTCTGAATGACAAAGTGCCTCCATTACCGGCGCGGCCCGCCAGCCGACCCGCCGGGACGCGCTCTGGTTTCAGCACTCTCCACCGCGGCCGGCCCGAAACGCGCGCCGCTGCGCCGCGCGGCGCCCGCCCTTGGAGAGCCGCCCCCGAGGCCGGCGAGAGCCGCGGGGCTGCAGGAGACGGACTGGGCTCCCGGCCACCTTCGCGGTCCCCCAGCCCCTCCACGCCCAGCTCCCCTGCTCCCCCTGCTCTGCTCCACGCGGAGGACACCGTCCGGCCCAGACCCGGAGCCCCAGCCCACGCCTCGCCTTTCCGGGGTCCTAGCACCGGCCGCGCGGCCCCACCTCCCCGGCCCGCTCCCCCCGCCGAGAAGCGTCTCCAGCCCGCGGCGTTAGTTAGAAAACGCGCCGCAGCCTCTCCAAATCCCCGGACGAAGCCACAGGTACTGACAACTCCAGGGAACCTGGGCCGAGTCTTTGGGATGGGGTTCATCTACCCCGGCCCGCGGACTCCGCGCCCGCCCGGCTCCACGGACGGTGTCAAGTGCGCCTTGCGGAGAAGCAGCTCCCAGGCGGATGGGGCGCGGGCTGTCTGTCCCCTTAAAAGGCATGGGGTGGACGGAGCTGGGAATCAGGCGAGGGCTGCCTCGCTAGGACCGAGGCTCAACTTCCTCGGACTCTAGCCAAGTCTTTAAACGTGCGGAGCCTCAGTCTCCTTATCTGTAAAATGGGGGTTTGGGGGCCCGATGCTCAGACGAGACTTGAAGCACGCCCCTCCAGCGCCAAACCCCCGCTCTGTCTACACACCAGGCCGCGGCTCCCGAGTGTCTTGTCGGAACTACCGGGAGGTGTGGGACGCTCATGAGGACTAGGTGTCTCTTGCCGAAACAGAATCTGGGGCCTCGGTCTCGTGGGGTGCCCAGCGGCTTCCCCAGGAAACTGGGCGGGGCGCCCGCGAAATCCCGGCCCTCCTGGGAGCTGGAGCCTGGGGAACCGCGGGCCAGGCGTCCTGGTCGCCTAACTTATTGGGGGTTTGGGGGGCCCGGGAACGCGGTCCCAGGCGCGCCTGCCGCGGAGCGCGCACCTCGCTCGCTCAGCAACGCCCCCTGCGGGCGCCTCGGGGGGCGCGACCCCGAGCGGTGCGCGGCTGGGACTTCCCGGGGCGCGACGCGCGCGCAGGAGCTCGGCACCTGGGGACTCGGGGCGGCCAGACCCCTCAGGAGGCGCCTGCGCCAGGTGTCAGCGAAGCTGCTTCACACTGTGGGAGTGAGTGCGTCGGAGGAGCCCGCTGGTAGTGGGAATCCCGGGAAGAGGCTCGACCTAGCGAAGTGGGGTCTCCCTTCCCAGTCTGAGATCCCAGCTTCTCTGCCCCCACTGGGCGAGGTCTTCCCGGGAAAGCGCGCGGCAGACGCGGGGCGCTTTCGCGCCCCTGCCCCTCCGGCCCCCTGTCCCCTGGCAGGCAGGCGGGGCGCCGGCCACTTCAGCTTGCCCTTCGGTGTCCTTTCATTTTGCTGCTTCTCTCTACCTCCCTCGCCGTCGTCGTGTTTTCTGCCCTCCTTGGCCCACTTCGACTCCCTCTTCGACCGCCCCCTCTGCAACCTCTCCCTCCGACGCCCCTCCCCCCCATTGTCTGGCCGGCCCCCATTGTCCGATGCGGGTCCCCACTGCCTCCAGTCCCTCCAGCCTGTTCCCCATTGTTCCAGCCCCTCGCCCCCGGCCCTCGCCCCCGCCCACTTGCCCTCTCACCCGCAGCCCCCGGCCCAATGCCTCCCTCTCTGGCCTGGGTTCAGTCCCCGACCCTACGGAGATAAGATGCTCAAGAGGAAAGTCGCCTCGAAATCCCGGCATTCAAGCGCCCCCTTCTGAAGAACCCAGACACCCGAGAGTTCCAGTACCCCCTCCTGAGAGACCCCTCCCAGCGCCTCCGCACAACCCCTTGCGATACCCCAGGACCGGCACCCGTGCGCCCCTCTTGCCGTCATCTCTGCCCGGGACCAGGGTCTCCTCTGCGCGCTGAGAGCCTTAGACACTCCTCCCTGGCCTGTCATCGGAGCTCCTCTCCCGCCACCCACCCCTGCGCCTGGGACTCTGCGCGCGGTTCTCTTCTTCCTCGGGGAGACCTAGCCCCCTCGGGGGTCCAGTCCTAGGAAAGGGAGCGGGTTCGCTCCTGCTGGCACTCACCCCCAGGAGTAGCAGCAGCAGTAGGCGCGGCCGGTCCATGGCGCAGCCGGCGGCACCTGCCCCCATCTCCAGCCTCCCGCGGCCGCGTCCGGCTTCCAGCTCAGCGCGCTCCGCGGACAGATAGGGCTGCGCGGCGCTGCGCCCCAGCGCCCGCCCCCCAGAGCTGGCCGCGGCTCCGCTCGCTCTGGCTGCGGGCGGGCGGGGCTGGGAGAAGCCAGTGCGGCGGCCCCGCCTCCTCCCCGCCCCGCCCGCCCACCCCCGGAACCGCGCCCGCCCGCCGCGCCGCCTCCGGGAGGGAGCGCAGGGGAAGGAGCTCGAGCCCGGAGCCGCGCCCGCCCGCCGGGCCCCTCCGGGAGGGGAGCCGAGGGGAAGGGACGTATGCGGGAGCCGCGCCCGCCCGCGAGCCCGCCAGCCGCTTTTCGGCGCCCCTAGGCCCTCCGAGCCTTCCACCCGCACCCTCCACCCTCCCGGTACCCGAGGCCCATCCCGCGCTGCTGCGCGTGGGTCTCCCGTGCCGTGGGCTTGGGGGCTAGGGCGGCCCCTCTGCGCCTCCGGTCTTTGGCCGCGGCCCCCGGCAAGATTCACTCCGGTGCCCATTTTCCTCTACGTCTGGCTTCTGATTCTTCTCTGAGTCGTCCCTACCCAGTCATTACCAGCGAGAATGACCACTGCCAGCCCCGCTCTTCATTTTCTAGCCTAGACCCCACCCCTACCCAGTGCAGGGGGGCTTCTGGGCAAAGGCCTAGAGAAAGGGGGAAGAGGGCTGGCAGGTGGCCGATTTGGGATGGTGTGCAACGGGAACATTCAAAGTGGAGTCCTTTCCAACATTATTTGAATTCTCAAAAGATGGGTTTGAAGAGGTCACAGGTGTACACACAAAACACTGGAACACACGTGCTCTCAAACTTGGATACGTGTGCACCTGTGCACTGGGTATGCCCACCCCGTCTCCTGCACGCCCCCCACACTGTGTGCACCTTGCATCCATGCACACTCATCGCACACGTGGTCACACAAACACATACTCACCTACATGTGTCGTGCACACATACAGTCACCTCCACACAAGCCATAATGTGTATTATCTCTCACTCAAGTGCATACAAGCATCCATGAACACACACACAAACACATCACACACACACTCAGATGCATCCCCTACAGTACAGCCTTCACTAGAGGCTAGGAGGACTCCATTACTATTATTGCCAAGGTCTCCCAGGTAGGGACTGCAATCTGTTGTCTGAATGCCTGTTCCACAGTTGGTGTTCAATACAGATCTGTAAAGGGAATAAACAGAAAAGTGGTTGAATATGCCCATCCACAGACTATGCAGACGACCCCAGGGCCACACTCAGTATGCCCTAGAAACCTCAGTAGGTCCTAAGCACACTCACGTGAGAGCTGGGAGTGTGCCACCAGTCTGTTGGTGGAAAGCACCCCCATCCCCAGCTGGGTGCTCACCCTCTGCCTGTCCTCACCCTTTCCTGCTTCTCAGACATAAAGGCCCTGGAGCACAGAGCTATGGGGGGTGAGGAGGTGGGAGGGCAAGTCTACAAAGCCCAACCCTGCACCCTGATCTTGGCCATATGCAGACCTCAGGTTTGAGGTCTATTGAAAAAAATAGCACCATCCTCCCACATTACAGGAAGAAGGGGGAGATCAAGCATTTGGGAAGAGGGCATGCTGGCAAGTTGGTATGTGATTTCCTAGATCAGCTGATGTCAATTCATTCTTTTGTGGGGGGTAAAATATCTGTCCTGTGAATTTCTTTCCTGTGTAACCAACAAAGTCCGGGTGACAGCCAGCCACGAGAGGACAGATCGACATCTCCGTGACTTGGAGCATGGCAGCGAATGAGCCACCAACTCCATGGTGGGCATAAGAGGTCAGTCTGCTGGTCCTTCCTCAGAAATCCCTGAGGACCCCTCCCCCCTGACAGGGACCATCTCTCAGCTGTCTCCTCCCACTGTTTTTATAGCTCTTCTTTCCTCTCAGCCGAATTCATGGAAGGCAGGAAGGGGTGACATAGTACTCACAGCAGCATCAAGCTGCTGCTTTCTACCTTGGGTATCGACAGTGTGGCATTAATTTAAATACTGCTGTTACTAATTTATGATCCCGGTTACTATTATTGCCAAGGTTATCCATCTCAACACAATTTAATATGACCCACGTTACCATGGCTGGGCCTGGCTTATTAATAATTTCCATGGTCTTGATCATTTAAGCCTTACTCCAACAATTACAAACAGCAATTGTTACTATTATTAGCAGTATTTCTCTGATGAAGCCCCAGCACGAGACCACGATGTAGTGCCGAGTGGGGTGGGGAAAAGAGCTGCAGTGCCCGGAGGACAGAACACAGAATGGAGAGCCGGTGGGCCTGGCTCTAAGTGCCCACACTCCCCACCCCCCACGTGGCTCACTCCTGTGTCCTCCTAGGTGGGTTACAGCATCCCTGTCAGCCTCGGTTTCCTCATCTATAAAATGGGAATTGAAAAAAATTCCATCTTGAACAGGCATGGTGATGAACTAAGGGAAGAACATGGTGGAGCCACTCATCAGTGTGTCGATGAGCACCTACTGTATGCATACTCTGTTCCAGGTGCCAGGGTCGCATGGTGAACAAGAGAAGCTTCTCTCACAGAGCTGATGACCTAGTGTCCGTTATTCCATGTGAAGGATTCTGCTAATGGGCCTGAAGCCTTGGCCATCGCTGTGATCAGGGTGACTGCCATCACCATCACAGCCATCTACACCAACAGCAGTACCATCAGCTTCGCTACCAGGACCCCCCACTGTCACCGCCATAGTTCCCACACTCACCCCCATCACAACCAAGATTTCTACTCCATTGTCCACACCATCACCACTGCCACCTCCTCGCTGGCCCTGCTACATCTACACTGGCACGAGCAGCAGACAGCTCTGTTCCTAATGAGTGCTGGGCACTTGGGTTGGTCCCTGTTCCTCTGAACATTATCAGAAGCCAGAAGCCACATTTCCCAGTGGAGCCTCTGCCTGCGTGAGCGCAGCACCGCCTGGCCAGGACTCCTGGCCACAAATGAGTGCCCTTTGCAACTCTCTCCCTGGCCGAGTCCCCTCTCCTTGAGGCTTGGTACTTGCAGTCACAGTTGTGAGCTGGCCTGGGAGAAAGCCCGTAGCCACTGACCTGCAAGTGGGGTCAGACAGGCGGCACCAGGGGGGCAGCATTGGAGGTTGCCCCAGGACCATCGCCCATAGTAGAAATCATTGCAATTCTGCACGGATCTGGGAATGGGAGTAGGGGATCAGACTGCATCTTCAGGAGTCCAAATGGGAGGGGCTTGCCTCTTTCCTATTGATCTAATCACCCCAACTCAACCCTGGCCCTCCAGTAAGGCATGATCCCCACATACTCTTGCTGAACTCCTGTCCTGGTCACACCCCTCGCTGCAGGCCATCTGCAGGTCACTGAGCTCAGCAACCCCTGCCTATCAGTCCCCAACAGTCCCTGCAGCCCCAACCCCACTTCAGAGTGGAACTAGGGGAGCAGACGACAGGAACTCAGGTTTACAGAGTGAGTCAAACAATTATTTCTTGTCCCCTGAAGGATTTTATAGGTGAAGAGCCTGAGGCTTGAAGAGGTTAAGCCACTTGCTCCAGGGCCCGCAGGAGGAGGCTGGATGCTGTGTGAGGCCCCTGCACCACACAGGGCCCTCCAATCACGCATCTTGGTGCTATCCCCCACGGATGGCCACCCCAGCCTTCACCCCAACGAGGGGAGCTAGACCCTGCAGGTCAAAGGGACTGTACCCCACACTCAGGTGCCCCTCCCAACATGCATTCACAGAACCCAGGCCTGGGGCCAGTGGGTGGGATGTATGGAGGCAGATCAAGTGGGTAATCTTTTTTTTTTTTAAGATTTATTTATTTATACAAGAACTGCGGTACAGGTCAGAGGCGCGGGAGGGTGAGAGGATTCACCAGAGACAGAGCGGGGAGCAGAACAGGCAGACTCACTGAAATACACTGCTGAGGGGAGCAGCGGGCGAGACAGGAGAGGTCTGCCGCGACATGTGGGATTCTCGCCGGCTGGCCAGGATCGAACCCGCGCTGCAGAGGCTGTGGACAGCTTCACAGTGAGGAGCTCAATCGCCTGCCCAGGTGGGTAATCTTTGCCTTTTGATCCAAGACGTCATCTCCAAGCTCTCTTAGTGCGTGCTCACTTTTCCCGCTTGAGAGGGAATCACCTCCCTTATCCTCCAGTTCCGTTGTCCAACCAGAGAAGGGGTGAAGAGAGATGGGCAAGGAGACAACGAATTCAGCGGGGGAAGTAGGGAGAAGGTGCTGGGCTCTCCCAGCTGCATCTCATCTGCCCTGGGCAGGCAGCCAGGCAAGGTAAGTGAAACCCGCTGCCCCCCATTAGGCACTGGCTTGGTGGCTTTGAAGCATGATGCAGTGATTACCTCTGAGCTGGCTCCTTCTGGGCTGCAAGGGGGGCCTGTCCAATGAGGGGGCCGGGCGGGGCCTGAGGCTGGTTTGGAGTCAGAGGTTTGATTCTGGAGCTGCATTAGTAGTGAGAGGGGTGGGAGAAATTCAGCAATTTTGGAGTCCAGTTAGATTAACTGGAGCATTAAAGTGGGCCAGTTCCACAGTGCCTTCCCTGCTGTCTGCTCCAGCCCCAGAGGCTGTGCCCCTTCCTGCCCCTGCCCTACCCTGCCAGGGGGGCCTCTGTCTGACCCACATTCATCAGCATTCCCACTTCTGAGCCCTGTCGTGGGTCACGCACCCATGGGAGTTGTCTGCCCTTTTTCTTCGGTGTAACTACCGCATTGGCTAAAGGCTTCCATCTTCCCGTCTGCAGGTTGTTCTCTTCCTCCAAAGGCCACCCTCCCTCCCACACATGCCCTGTTCTGTACCCATACCACTTGTCAAGGAATCATACGATTTTAATGATTTGTTCAAATGTAGTTGGGAAGGCCTTCATTCCCCCGAGACTTGGTGTCTTGGAGGAGGGCAATGCTATGCCCAAGTGCTGCAGTGGAGAGATCCAGGCCTTCCAGGGCACAGAGGGAGGTCAGCGGACCCCGACGCGCAGGAAGCCACCCTCCTGGCTGACTCTGGGGCTGTGCCTCCCTGCCTCTAGTCCAGCCTCTGCCCTGTTCGCTGTGGCACACACCGCCCTCCAGCAGCCTTCCTCTGGAAAGTTCCTCCTGACTTTCAGCTTTGATCCTTCCCAGGATAGCAGAGCTGCACTGCAGTTTGAAGTTTTCAATCATCTCTCTCAGTTTTTATCCTGTATCCAAGGGCAACCAAGGCATTTTATTTTTATTTATTTTTATTATATATATATATATATATATATATATATACATCATTCTTCCTTTTTTACAATGTATGCTTTCTCCTCTCAGGTGTAGTCCCCATAAAATTCCCACCACAAGTTCACCCATGCACCATCACCATAGTCCCTTGTGCTCTTCTCTCCCTCCCCTGTTTTGGTCCCTCTCCCTCCCCCTCCCCTGCAGAGTGGCTTTGATTAATAGTTGCCTATTCATTTTGTTTTTTGATTTTTATAATTATTTTTTTCCTGATCCCTATTTCAACCAAGACATTTTAAAGAAAAACTGAGTAAGGCAGCACCATGCGGTCGGCAGGTGGGAAGACAGGAGGGAAGGCGTCAGAGGTGAGTCTACCTCTTATTTGCTGCATGCCCTTGGGCCAGTCCCTCCCACCCCCCAGCCTCAGTTTCCTCACCTGTAAATTGGGCGTGAGATAGCAGTCTCAGAGTTACTGCAGGAGTCAAGAGTTACTGCACACGAGTATGCTTTGCAAGTCAAGGGAGTGGGGAGATGTCAATTACTCCTATTGATGCTGCTGCTGATGGTGGCTTCTGGCCTGCAGGCTGGAGACCGGATGAGGGGTGAGATGACATTTTAGCAGTGGAGACCATGACTCCAAGGCGGGGTGGGGGGGTTGGGGGGCTTCCTAATGCAGATAAGAGCCAGAGCCTTGACAGGCCTCGGGCTCCAACACAATTCCCACGGGAATTGCTGGGGAAGGCGACAGCCTGGGTCCAAGCTTATCTTCACTGAGGCGCTTTGGGGAAGTGGGGTCAAGTGCGATTGTCTGGGTTGGTTTCCAGCGCAGGGGGGTAGAGGGCATGGATGTGTGGTGTGTTAAGTCTCCCAGTGAAGGCAAGACCCCCAAGAGGACTCAGAGCAGGGAGGAGCAGGAGGAGGCCAATCACTTCCCAGCTCCCCCCACCCCCATCCCAAGCATCCCAAGGCTTGGGTTGAGGATTCCTAAGACAGGGCTAAAAATTTGAGCACAGAAGGCCTGAGTGGTCAGTTCTTTCTGCATCAACTCTCTCAGTCCCACCCACTCTATTTGCTGTCGGAACATCCCCTCCCAGGAGAAAGAAGATGCAGCCTTGCCATGGGGCAATCCAGTCCAAGGGGGGACTTCTTGCCCTGGAAGTCCCTACTCTGAGAAGGGAGAGCTGGTCTCTAGGCTGCAGTGTCCTCTCTTGAGGGAGCAGAGAAGTGGGTCTGGTATATGGAAAGGAATGTCAATGCCATTGTCCTCCCCCATAGTCCATGGGGGGTAGGGGAGAGCTGTGCAAGGGGAGAGTGGTGCAAGAACCAAAGGACATGGCCCCTGGTCTGTTTCTGCTCTCAGGGAGCTGGAGGGTGGGGCAGGCAGGGCCACTGGCAGCTCTAGGCTAGGCTGCTGGCCCCGGACCACTTCAGGCCAAACCTCAGACATCTCTGAGAGTTTTCCCCATTTAACAGGAGAGTTTCACACCTGGGACAGGAGCACAAGGGTGTTCCCAGTTACCCACTCTTAGACAAGGCTCAGATTTCAGAAGGGGGAGCCACCCCTCCCTCCCAGAAGTCATCTACAGATGGGGAAACCGAGGCCCAGAGCTGTACAGATATGTTCCTGGTCACTTGGTGACTAGGGAGTTATAGAGTGTTCCAGCAGTTTCAGCCCTGGGGCGGGGGGTGGGGGGGCAGGAGATTGGGTTCTCCCTTCAGCATGGCCCCTGTGGGACCTGGGATTGTCCACAGTGCCTCCGCCGTTTCCCACCCAGGATGTGAAGACCATCTCCTTCCCAGACTAGCCCTGCTTCTGCTGCCTGGGGGTCCTAGGCCAGGCTCCCATCCAGCCCATCAGGCCCAGCCCGCAGGGTGCCGGGGAGGGGCGCAGGTGCAGTGGGCACCTCCTGGAGGAGCCAGCTGCCAGCAAAGTGCTGAGTCGGCACTCAGAGCCACCTCGGCTCCTGTTCCATTATTCATCCCTGTAAGAGGCTCTCCCTCCTCCTCCACGACCCAGGCCCAGGCTCGAGAAATATCTACCCCCTCCCACATCTCCCCCTCAGCTGGAAACTCTTAAGCAAAAAGGTCGTCAAGATGATTAAATGCGAACAGATTTTCAGCTCTTTTTCCACTTTAATTAAAAATGGGCTCTCTGTTCAGAGGAAGCTGGAGACAGAATCACAGCTCCCCGAGGCCCCTGAGCTGAAAAGTGGGGGGAAACTCTCGGAAATGTCTGAGGGTTGGCCTGAAGTGGCCTGGGGTCAGTGGCCTGGCCTAGAGGCACCAGTGCTCACAGGGCCTGCCTGCCCCATCCCCACCCCCCAGAGAGCAGGAACAG